ACTAACTTCAGACAAGCACTGACCGCATTCACAGTGAGCCATTAACACCTTCACCGACTCCCTTTCAGTGAATGGCGTAATACGAGTCAAACCACCACCCATTGCAGACACAGAGCTCGAGTTGCCTCGCGCAACTTCGTTCTGGATACTGTAGCAGGTTAAACTCCTACCTATCCAGAATAGACCCTGACATACCAAACACATGTCCTGCATGCAATGAGTCTCCGCATGACACTAACCACCTCTTTGCATGCCCAACAAACCCCACTCATCTAACACCCCTTTCCCTATGGTCCGACCCCGTCGAAACAGCTCGTTTCCTGGGCCTTCCGTTAGATGACCTCGACGACAACGAATCTAGAATTTATCACCCAAACGGGGATTAGATAATCGTTATAACAACAACTTGTTTGGATCGGTAAGTGTTAGTCCAAGTTTGTCGTCACTAGAGCAACACCTAGCAGCAGGGTTGCTCCGTATCCTCTTGACCCGTGCTGGCATCGAGTCCAACCCGGGCCCCTAGGAATTCTTTTGCTGCGTATGCGCTAAAAGGCTCCACCCAAACTCCACCTCGATTAGGTGCAATACATGCAATGGATTCATCTTAAGAACTGCTCAGGCCTTAAGACCCATAGGGAGTGGACCACGAGTTACGTGGCCCCATGCTGCCAACGCAATACCGCGACACCAGCCTTAACGCTTGTGCAATCTGCACCATGCTCGCGCACTGCGCCGCCACTCCAGTTGAGTGGTCAAGAAAGGACCTCTACGGCCCTAAGGAGCTCTAGGCAGCATGACTACCAATCTGAGCGCGACACCGTACGCCATGCCGATCCCTGTGATTCCCGAATAAGGGATCTCAATTTGGAGATTCGGCGAATGGTAAACCATTATAAGCGGACAAAATGGGTGGAGCACCTGAAGCCCTGTAATCTCTTCACCGGTGTGAGTAAGCTTTGGAATACTGTCAAGGCCTTGTCTTATCCGAGGAGACATGACGACCGGGTTGAAATTCAATTCGATGGCCATGCCTCCTCGGCCCCGAAGGAGTGCGCGAACTATTTTAGCCGGTAGTTTACATTGCACCCTTCGACCGACAAGTTCAAACGATGTGTTACCCGACGGCTGCGCAAAATGCCAAAAGACTGCGCACCACTTACTCTCACTGATGGAGAGCTTCAGAGTGTCATCAAAAAGGCGAAATCGTCTAAATGCATCGGTCCTGACGGAATAACCATGCTGATGCTAAAACATCTAGGCTCAACGGGAGTAAACTATCTCACCAAGGTCCTCAACTTGTCGATGTCCACTCTTTAAATACCCAATGTGTGGAAAGTCGGAAGAGTGGTCCCACTACTGAAACCTGGGAAACCCGCCAACAAAGGGGAGTCTTATCGCCCGATAACTCTCCTTTCCCCAGTAGTGAAGACACTTGAGGCATTGTTACTATTGTCATTCACTCACCACCTGAGTCTAGCAGACCATCAGCATGTCTTCCGAAAAGTGCACAGCACCACCACAGCACTAAGTCATAAACGCCCAGATAGTTCATGGCCTGAACCAGAAGCCACCCTGGGAGAGGACGATCCTTGTTGCGTTGGACTTGTCAAAAGGTTTTGACACAGTCAATCACACAACGCTACTTGAGGACCTAGAACAATCAACGCTCCCCCCAAGGCTGAAGCGGTGGACTATGAACTACCTGAGCGGTCGGCATTCATCCGTACTGTTTCGAGGTCAAAACTCCAAACTTAGAAAAATTAAACAGGGGGTTCGCACGGTCTAGTGCCGAGATACGAAAGGCAGTTTATCCTGCGCTGAAATATTATTGGTAAATTATACTCAGTCTATCGTTTTTAAAATGGAAATTTCTAATTGCAGAGTAAGCAAGCCAATAAATACACTAAGCTGTCTACCACAATTGCAACCGTTTCTAGACTCTAGGGGTATCTTACGTAAAGGAGGCCGCATCCAAAACGCAACGCTATCGGACTATGTTAAACATCCTATAATAGTGCGAAGAAACCACCGCTCGCTAAATTAATCGCGGTAAAAATATATCTTTTAACATTACATGGTAGACCTCAGATAATGCAAGCCGCCGCTTCAACGACGATATGGGGTACCAGGCATTCGTAACCTCGCCCGTGCCGAGATACGGTATATATGGGAAATGCATTCGTTGCAGACGACTGAGTTGCCAACCATTACAGCAGCTCATGGCTGAGCTGCCTCCAAGCCGCGTCACTTCATCCCGCTGTATTCTACATAGCGTAGTCGCTTACGCTGATCCTTACTAAGTGAAGAGGCGCAAAATCTACAAAGGCAAACATATCTCATTTATTGGCATGAGTACTGGGGCAATGCATCTCGAGCTTGCTGGAGATGTGACTTAAATCGCTTTCATCGCTGCTTTCATCGCTGCTTTCCAACGCTTTACTAACAGAAGAGGGTACTGCCAGCACATTTACTCTGACAGCGGCACTAACTTCGTTGGCGTTGCAAAGGAGCTACGATTAGCCAACGAACACTGCGTTCGTGATGAAAGAGTGTCATCATATTTCGCAGATGCCCAAACAATTTGGCATTTCAACCCTCCAAGCGCCCCTCACATGGGTGGCTTCTGGAAGGCTGGTATAAAACGAATCAAAGATCATCTTAAACGCGCCTTAGCCACTTCGCTTCTAATTTACGAAGAATTTGCAACAGTACTTACTGAAGTTGAAGCCTGTGTAAATTCGCGCCCTATTTGCTGTATTCTTACAACGTGTAAACGACTTCGAAGTTCTTACGCCTGGACACTTCATGATTGGGGAACCGCTAAAGAGATTTCCAGATTCTGACGTTAAAGTCTTCAAGGGAACCATATATCAACGTTGGAAAAGCATTGTGTCAATTAGACAACACTTCTGGAATCGATGGAGAGACGAGTATCTTGTCGGTCTTCAACGCCGCTCGAAATAGATATGCTCAACGCCGAATTTGCAGAAAGATGATATCGTTAGCATACATGAAATCAACGTGCCCCCCCCACGAGAGTTGGTCGTGTGATTGGTACTTCTCCAGAGTCAGATGATTAAGTTCGGGTTGTAAACTTGCAGACATCCGAAGGGGAGCTTTTGAGGCCATTGATTAAATTATCGTTACTGCCAACAAAAGGGGACATATTTTCTATATGATATTTTTAGATTTTAATTGAAATTGTTATTTATGGAACGGTCGTTCAGAACGGCCGGTAACATGTGTGCGTTATTAAACATCAACAATATTTTTAATTTATTTATTTAATTTGTCTTTGAGCATAGACTATTGATGTAAAATATCCACCACAGATTTAATTTTCACTCAATTCTTATTAATTATCCATATACCAACGAATCCATAGCTCACTTCTTTTATATTAAGCCATTGGAATAAAAATATGAAAAACTTTCAGGTACAAATATAACCAGTTCAGTATTCATATCGAAGAATATTGAGAGTTGTTTTCTGAGTGCTCTATTAATCTATTTATATAAGTAAATAATCTAAAAAATCTTTTTAGGCCGAAATATGCTTTGCTTGATGAATGTACCAGTGCTGTTTCTATCGACGTGGAGAGCACAATATATGAAATTGCAAAGAACATGGACATAACATTATTAACAATAACACACCGTCCCACATTATGGTAATTTAAATGTAGACAACAAAACAAGTGTAATTTTATTTAATATTTAATAGGAAATTTCATACACACATTCTTGAATTCGATGGTCAAGGTGATTGGAGTTTTCGTCAAATGGTACCCAATGAGCAACAGTGACCTTAAATTCGAATATTCCGTAGCCATCTGGGCAAAACTAAATATCTTTTTATTGACATTTCCTTGAAATAAAGTCGTAAGTGTGATGTAAATTATTTTAAATTGTTTTGTATTGTCTCTGTAGTACTATTTGTAATCTATCTGTAGTAGCAAGATTTATGTACTGACCTGAAAGAGAGTAATTTCCGAGGTGGAATTTGGATGGAGCCTTTTTGCGCATACGCAGCAGTAGAATTCCTCGGGGCCCGGGTTGGACTCGATGCCAGCACGGGTCAGGAGGATACGGAGCAACCCTGCTGCTAGGCATTGCTCCAATGACGACAAACTTAATCTAAAACTTACCGATCCAAACAGGGTTAGATCGCCGAAATAACAGCCCTTGGCCGGATAAAATCCGGGTCAATTCCGGTATCGCAGAACCGGCTGTTGTGGGAATTGAACCTACGTCGACGACATTAGACAGTACGCCGACCAGACTTCGGACGCAACTAACTTCAGACAGGCACTGACCGCCATTCACAGTGGAGCCATTAACACCTTCACCGACTCCCTCTCAGTGAATGACGTAATACGAGTCAAACCACCACCCATAGCAGACACAGGGCTCGAGTTGCCTCGCGAATCTAGAGTGACCCTCGCGCAACTTCGTTCTGGATACTGTAGCAGGTTAAACTCCTACCTATCCAGAATAGACCCTGACATACCAAACACATGTTCTGCATACAATGAGTCTCCGCATGACACTAACCACCTCTTTGCATGCCCAACAAAACCCCACTCATCTAACACCCCTCTCCCTATGGTCCGACCCCGTCGAACCAGCTCGTTTCCTGGGCCTTCCATTAGATGACCTCGACGACAGCGAATCTAGAATTTATCACCCAAACGGGGATTAGGTAACCGTTACAACAACAACAGAGTAATTTCCGACTTAGAGTAAACCGATTCACGAACACGAACGACGTATAAATCGCAGAAATGAGAAGGAACAAGCGAAATAAGGGATATTGAATTTTGTAGAGTTTGTTTGCAGAGTGTGCGAAACGATTTTGCAAACAGTTCATGATTGTTCACATCTGCTTTAAACATGCACACATGGTATGTTTCAGCATTTGTTCCAGAGGTTTAATGAAGTACTTATTCTTTAAAGCCTCCAATCAACCGAATACACAGTAACATATGTTAGTTTTTTAATTAATTAATAAGTTAATTCTAACTCCTGTCACCGTTGGCAAAATTATTGAAAAACAAGTAAGCAAGGGCTAAGTTCGGATGTAGCCGAACATTTTATACTCTCGCAAAGTCAAATGGTATACTCGTTTGAGATTTCTTTGTGGATTGACTGATATTTTCGGTAGAAGGTCAACTATAGGCACTGGGGTCCACATATTTAGTACTTAGGGGCTTGTTCGATTTAGACAATTTTTGGTCACAAGGTGGCATACTTTAAACGTATTATTCACGCAAAGTTTTACGCCGATATAATCATTGTTGCTTGATTTGCATAGTGGAAAGTGAAAGAATCAAGTGGAGTTTAAAATGGTGTCATATGGAAAATAGGCGTGGTTGTAGTCCGATTTTGCCCATTTTCGCACTATAACATAGAAATATGAGAAGAATGTTACGTACCGAATTTGGTTTAAATCGGTTCAGCGGATCTCAAGATATCTAATTTTGGTCGCGGTTCCTATAAAGTCATCTCATACCATCCCAGAGATAAAATTTAATGTCTCTGGCGTGTTTAGTGCTTAATTTATCGCGCTTTTAGTAGTTTTTAACAGTACCGTTATATGGGGAGTGGGCGGAGTTGCCACCCGATTTCAACTATTTTCACACTGGGTAGAGGTTCTAAAAAAATTTGCTTCCAGTAAATTTTTTTATTATAACATTAGCGGTTTAGGAGATATGCACAGTATACCTATTAGAGGCGGGACCACGCCTACTTTTTAAAAACATTTTAACTGCAGATGCCCCTCCCTAATGTGATCCTGTGTACCAAATAACAGTCATATCATATTGCGGAGCTTAGTTATGGTAATTTATCTTCTTCTTCTCACGGTATTCAGAAACATGTCTACCAAGTTTCATAAAGATATCTCAATTTTTACTCAAGTTACAGCTTGCACGGACGGACAGACGGACGGACGGACAGACAGTCACCCGGATTTCAACTCGTCTCTTCAACCTGATCATTTATATATTGTATATATAACCCTATATCTAACTCGATTAGTTTTAGGTGATACAAATAACCGGTGAACATAGGTGAACAAAACTATTATACTCTGTAGCAACAGGTTGCGAGAGTATAAAAAAGGAGTCGATTTAGGCGGGTGCTCGAAGATCTGATCGCTAGCGAGTCGAAATGCTAAAAAGCGGGCAGGATCCTTCTTTTAGTCCCTTATAGGTATATCTGCTGATGTCTTCGTGGTGGTGTGATCAGTGTTAAGTTGTATTTGTGTGCGTGTTGGTGTAGGTGTAGTGATGTGGAATGTCTGGTATGTAGGTGTGGAATGTATGGTAAGTAGGTGTGGTGATGTGGATGTGAATTGGTGTAGTGTGACAGTGTCTTACGATGCGGGGGGATTGAGTGACATCAACAGATGTTTCTATATGCCATGATAAATAATGCTCCACCAGACATGCTGAAGTTGCATTTGATCTTTATCGCTAAATACTTATCGCGCTTAAGCACAATATAAAGGGTGGTGAATATGGTTCTATCCGATTTAATAAATGTTCACCTAAAATCTTGAAATTCTAAAACATTGGGTTCGCTATGAAAACATAACACTTTTTGTGGGATCTTTCGAATGTTGCAAAAAACATAATAAAAAAATAACTCCACTAACTGAAATCAGGGAATCCTAAAATGTTATGTTTACTTTGGGAAGGAATATTTTATAGTGTTACATAGGGTACGTTCGAGATGGCTATCACGACAGCAGTTTTGCAAATTTGTCAAAGTATCACATTCTGCGTGAATTTTTGAACATTTGCAACAGCATCACGTTCTACTGTCACTTTTCGCACGCAATTTATGCAAACAATCGGCAACACTAAATTTTTGTCTGCACATCAGCAAATTAGCCACAGTACCAATCTTACATATTAAATAATTATGCCCGGATCTATGAAATACATATCAGACAAGCATAGGATGACAAGAGGAACTAGATTCCGTATGTCCTACGGACCGTGTAAGCGTTAAACTGAGCTAACTTGACTTGGGACACGTGTTTCTTGTCTTTAATCTAAACAAGTAGGAAAGGGCTATCTTGCGCTTTCCTCCAATCATAGATTAGATACTCCGCTACAATATCAACATTATTGTTGCATCATTTCAAATACACTGAAGTTTTCAAAATAAATTCTTGAATATACGCGTATATGTTTTTATTAATGAATTGATATGTAACTGAATTTTAAGAATATAGTCATGTTCATGTTAAAGGTACTGTATACATTAGGTCTAATTTGTAACAACCTACAAGCAACCAATCGTGAATTTTTCACTAATACATACGCAAACTAACGGCAAAAGGTAGGCATTCGGTACTAGTTGTTTTCAAATATTGTACTACTAAAATAGACAAACTAGGCATTTGGTAAAGATTGCCTACTAAGACGTCTAAATGCCTCAAAAAACGCTCAAATATGATGTAGTGTGTTGTTGCGTTATGTTTTAAAATTAATAAATTAAAGTATCTTATTGGTACGATCTCAAATATTTTTGATTATTAAAATTTACGTAATTTCGATCAAAATATTAATGTACAATGTTCAAAATATAAAATTCGACGTAAATAAGAGATAGATGAAATCAGCTTCCTACACAATTATGCTTTCGTATAATTTTTCGGTTAGTTGTATTATAAAATTATTATAACTTAATTGTTGAATGGCTTTGCCAAGATTTGATGATAGTATTACTGAAGAAGATTTCTTCTTCACTTCAGAAAAACGATATAATAATTGCCAAGTAGTAAAACAAAAAAAAATAATCGAATTCGATACGGAGACAATTTTCGATCAAAAATTTTCATAAGCATGTTTAGCACTGTTAAAAGATTTTCTCAACTCAATGAACGCATAGATTTCGACAAATATTTTTGTTAAATTAATTAATTTGTTAATTTGTACTACCAGGCATCGTAAAGGAGGAGTAGGGAAGCTATCAGCTGATCAGATATAAACAAAGCAACGGCTGAGAGGTGTCCATGGAGAAATGTCAAGTCCGTCTAGGGGTTGAGTTTCTATTGGGATCCACGATGTTGTTGTTGTAACGGTTACCTAGTCCCCGCTTGGGTGATAAGTTATAGTTTGGCTGTCGTCGAGGTCATCTAACGGGAGGCCCTGGAAACGAGCTATTTCGACGGGGTCGGACCATGAGGAAATGGGTGTTAGATGAGTGGGACTCGTTCGGCATACAAAGAGTTGGTTAGTGTCATGCTGAGATTCATTGCCCGCAGGACATATATTTGGTATGACTGGTTCTATTCTGGATAAGTAGGAGTTTAACCTGCTACAATATCCAGAACGAAGTTGCGCGAGGGTCACTCTGGATTCACGAGGCAACTCGAGCTCTACGTCTGCTATGGGTGGTGGTTTGATTCCTAGTACGCCATTCACTGAGAGTAAGTTCGTTGCGGCCCAAATCAGGTCGGCGTACTGTCTGATGTCGTCGACGTAATCATGGAAGGACCTCTTCATGTTCCTAGAAGGTGGTTCCTCTTCAAGCAGACGACTGCAGGGGTGATTTCTGCGAAAACATCCCAGCAGAAACTGCTTGGAGAGGAGCTCGTTATGTTCCTTAATTGGAGGCATATGTTTGAGGGCAGTGTTTTGACAAGTCTGAAGCTTCATCGTCTGCATATTGCTATTTTCAGTTGCCCCGAAAATATTAGTTACATGTAAAACTATTATTTTTTCAAAATAAAATCAGTTTATTTTAATATACATATAATCTTAAAGCAGCGACTATTATTGGAAAATTCCCAACCATGTGAAATCCAGAAAAAGCTTATTCAACGAAACTGGAGACAAGTTTTATAAATATAAACAAAACTAATAATTATATTAAAAACAAGTAAGGAAGGGCT